ATATTTCTTTTAAAAATATTGGCCCTTTGTCCTGTTTGTAGTTTAGTATCCAGCTTTTTTTTTTGCATTTTGTTTTGTTTATGATGTTTTCTGACAAAGTTTTTATATAGTTTAGTTTGCTTTTATTCCTTCCATAATGTTTAGAAAGATATTATTTTATGTGTTTGAGTGTATTGCCTGCATGCATGTGTGTACATGCACCCATGTTGTTGTACAGTCCCTGCAGAGGTCAAAGAGGGCATTGGATCCCCTGGAGCTGGAGTTACAGACAGTTGTTAGTCACCATGTGAATGCTGGGAATCGAACCTGAGCCCTCTGCAAGTGCAGTCAGTGCTCTTAACCACTGAGCCATCTCTCTAGCCCCTCCTTCCTTTTATGCTTGGCTAGTTTATTATCACTGTAAACAACTTTAACAAAACAGAAGAGAACCCCATATAAGAATGTATCATCTCCATAGCAAGTACCTATAGGAATGTTATATTAATTTATGTATTTTGTAAAATATTTCAAACATTTCTGTTATACTTCCTTGTCATTTTTAATAGTTCTGTTAATTTTACCATGTTATCTAGTTATTAGATAATATTTTGTTAACTTGAGCATTATTGAACATTTTTATTGATTTTTAAAAATTGTTAAATTCAAGCCAGGCGTGGTAGTGCAAGCCTTTAATCCCAGCACTCGGGAGGCCAGAGGCAGGTGGAGTTCAAGGCCAGCCTGGTCTACATAGTGAGTTCCAGGACAGCCAAGGGTACAGGGAGACCCTGTCTCAAGACCAAAAAAAATTGTTAAATTCTAAAAATAACTTCTATAAGTTTCTTGCCTTCTCCCCATTTTTATTTGTTTCTTTAGACCATAAAAATAATGTTACTAAGTTTAAGTTTATTAACAGTGACATTATTAGGTCATAGAATATAAGTGATACTGTTTTTAACTTTTCCCTACCTTGCTCTTTTGGTGTAGGGAACTGCATGGCTAACTATCAGCTATATATAAGTATGACACCTACAGTACTGTTTGATAGTGTTTATTCTTTTTGAGACAGGGTCTCCTGTAGCCCCAGTTGTCTTGGAACTCACTATGTAGACCAGGCTGGCCTTAAACTCATAGAGATCTTCCTGCCTCTGCCTCTGGAGTGCTGGGATTAAAGGCATGTGTCGCATGCCTGGCCCATTTCTTTTTAAACTTTTATTATTATTTTTAATGTGTGAGTGTTTTGCCTGCATGTGACTGCACCCATGCATGCAGTACTTATGGAGGCCAGAAGAGGGTGACAGATTTCATGGAAGTGGAGTTATAGCTGGTTGTTAGCTACCATGGGTACTGGGAACTGAATCCAGGTCCCAGTGCTTTTAATCCAGCAAGTGCTTTTAATCGCTGAGTCATCTCTCCAGTCCAGTGTTTTATTTCCTTAAGTAATTTAATTTTTGGTTTAAATATTTTTTTAAATTTATTTTTATGTGTCTGAGTGTTTTGCTTGAATGTAAGTACACCCATGCATGCAATGCCTGTAGAGGTACAGTTGCTTGCTGCCATGTGGGTGCTGGGAACTGAATCTGGGTCTTCTGCAAGAGTAGCCAGGAACCAGTGCTTTTAAATTGCTGAACCATCTCTCCAGCACCCCCTTCCCCCGTTTTTTTTTTTTGTTTTTTTTTTTTTTTTTTGAGAAAGAGCCTGCTTTTAGCCCAGCTGGCCTGAAACTCACTATGTAGATCTCACACAGATCCACCTCCCCACTTGCTAGGACTAAAGGTGTTCATCACATATCCTATTTCTTAATTTTAAAAATATAATAAGAAGCCAGGCGTGGTGGCACACGCCTTTAATCCCAGTACTCGGGAGGCTAAGGCCAGCCTGGTCTACATAGTGAGTTCCAGGACAGCCCTTAATTTTTGTAGCATGAATTGCTATGAAAACCTATCTAGCTAGACTGGGTAATTTTGATTACCTCTGTGTGTGTCTCTGTGTTTGTTATTTGGGGGGGAGGGCAGTCTTAGGGCTTGAGCCCAGGGGCTTGTACCTGGTAGTGTAGTGCTGTACCACTGAGTGACATTTCTACTTCATATTCTTTTATTTATTTATTTATTTATTTATTTATTTATTTATTTATTTATTTATTTATTTATTTATTTGGCCTTTTTGAGACAGGGTCTCCCTGCAGCCCCAGCTGGCCTGGAACTCACTATAGAGACCAGGCTGGCCTTGAACTCACAGAGATTCTCCTGCCTCTGCCTCCCGATTGCTGGGACGGCAGGCCTGAGCCACCAGGCTTGGCTCTCTACTTCATATTCTACAGTTTGATGGCATATAAAACATATATTCCAAAAGTAATGAGACTGGTTTTAACTGAGCAGCAGAGTGGTGCTTGCCTGAATCCACACCCCAAGCTTCTCTTCCTTTGAAGAAATTGTATCTTTGTTATTGTTGTTGTTCTATTTGAGACAGGGTCTCCCTGTAGCCCCAGCTGTCTTGGACCGCACTATGTAGACTCAGAGATCCACCTGCCTCTGCCTCCTGAGTGCTGGGATTAAAGGCGTGTACCACCTCACCCGCTTTTGAAGAAATTCTGAGATTTGGGCTTTTAGCTTGAATAACCATTAAACACTAGTATAAATTTGTTACAGTGCTCAAAACACTTGAAGAATGTACATTTTGGCATTATGATAAACTTATGACTTATTTTTCTTTTAATTTCAGAGAATACTTTTTACAGTTGGCTTGAAGGTAATTTGAAACTTTTAAATAAATTTAAATGATAATTTTCATTTTTAAAGTCATGAAACAAATTTTATAGTTACAAGATTCACATATGAAATTTTATTTCCAAACCACTGACTTCTTTTAGGCCTATGTGTAGAAAAAAGAGCGTTCTACAGACTTATATCTGGCTTACATGCAAGCATCAATGTACATTTGAGTGCAAGATACCTTTTGAAAGGTATGTGACTTTTAGTTTTTACTTTCTTACATTTGGCTTTAGGTTTTCTTAAGATTTTCTTGGTATTTACCTGAGTAGGAAAATAGAGACTTGCCTGAATACTAGGTAGCAAAAATCCATGCTTAAATGATAAGAATCAGGAATGTGGAACTGGATATAGTTGGATAGCTCCATACATTATTAATTCTTACCTCAAAAATACACACACCACTTGGGAAATACTCATTTGTTTTGTTAAGGGAATTGAAATGGCTCAGGGCAGTGTGTAGGTTGGTATTATTCTATTTCTATGTAGACTGTAACCCTTCCTGCTGCGCAGATGCTTTGAGGACACTGGTAGATGTCAGACCATGGTTGATTTTCATCAGTAACTTATTTCTTCTGGAATTGGGAAGTATTTTAACTTTTAGAAACAAAATGTCAACTTTGACTTGAAAGGGTGCTTTCAACTCATTAGTAATTTCAGATAGTCATTTTTATTTTATATATTTTTATTTTATGATTGTTTATATTCATAAAATTAAACTATACTTGGTTTTTATGAATCTGCTTTCTCTGTAAATATTGAATTCATTTTGCCTTTAAGGATAGGTTCCAGAAGACAAAATTATTTACTATAGAATTTTAAACTAAACTCTGAAAATTATCTTGTTTGAAGTAATATATTTTAAAATATAAAATGAAATCAATTTCTCTAAGTATGATTAACCTATTATAATTATGATGAAAATTACTCAACTATAATTCAGTCATTAATATTCAACTCTTCATTCTTCTTAGAAACCTGGTTGGAAAAGAAGTGGGGCCACAATGTAACAGAATTTCAACAGCGGTTCGATGGAATTTTGACTGAAGGAGAAGGTCCAAGAAGGCTTAAGAACTTGTATTTTCTCTACTTAATAGAATTAAGGGCTTTATCTAAAGTGTTACCATTCTTTGAGCGCCCAGATTTTCAACTCTTCACTGGAAATAAAGTTCAGGATGCAGAAAACAAAATGTTACTTCTGGAAATACTTCATGATATCAAGTAAATTACATATATTTCAATGTGTACATTAATGCATAGGTGGCATATAGCATCCAAAATAGACATCAATATTTCTGTAGAGAAAGGAAAACTGTTTTAATAATAATTTAAAGTTAGTTCTGTTCGGATATTTATATATTTTTGTTCTTTTAAAAAATATTTTTATGATTTTTTTTTTAATGTGTATGAATGTATTGCTTGCATGTGTGTAAGTGCACATGTATCATGCAGTGCCTGCGGCAGTCAGAAGAGGGCATTGGATTCCCCTGAAACTGGATTTGTGGATGGTTGTTAGCTGCCATGTGGGTGTTGGGAATTGAACCTGGGTCCTCTGTAAGAGCAACCAATGCTCTTAACTGCTGAGCCATTGCTCCAGTCTGTTCATTTTTTTTTGAGATGGGGGTCTCACTATGTAGCCCTGGCTACCCTGGAACTCCTATATGGACCAGGCTGGACTTCAGCTCATAGAGATCTGCCTGTTTCTGCCTTCCAAGTAATAGGACCCAGGTTTTTTTTTGTTTTTTTTTTTTTTGTCTTTTTGAGACAGGGTCTCCCTGTAGCCCCAGCTGGCCTGGAACTCACTATGTAGACCAGGCTGGTCTCGAACTCACAAAGATCCACCTGTGTCTGCCTCACAAGTGCTGGGATTAAAGGTGTGTGACATCATGCCTGGCTTTTTTTTAAAGGCAGAGTCCTGATTAGTACTAAGGCTGGCCTGGACTAATACTAGTACTGGGCCTCCTGGGTGCTAGGAGCATAGGCATATATCACTTGGTCATCCTAGATCTTTTAGAATTTTTTAATTTTGTTTTTGCTTTGACCTGTTTACTAAAAAGCACATTTTTGTTTTGTTTTAAAAGCCCTCTTTTAGTTCTTAATATCGTCATTACTTTTATATTTATTTGCACAGATTGAGTTTGGGCCAGACTTCTACTAATATACCTATAATATACCTATAAAAATATATACCTATAGTATACCTATAATAAGTATTTGCATAGGTGTTTTAGCTGATTTTTACTCTTTTAATTACAGTATGTATCATCGGTCAGTAAAATATATTAGACTTTAACATTTATAATACATAAAAATGAATCTTCTCTATTTTAAAATGCAGGTCATTTCCTTTGCATTTTGATGAGAATTCTTTTTTTGCTGGGGATAAAAAAGAAGCACATAAACTAAAGGTAATTATATTTCAACCTAGTTGTTGGATACAAACTAATTAGCATGTCAGTATAAATGTAAAAATAGTGTGTTAATGGTAGAGATAAAGTGATACCTATCAGAGGTTGGGTGGGGATGGGTTAGGAGAAGGAAACTGTTGGACAAAGTGCAGTTTCAGTTAGCAGGGGTGAACTGTAGTGATCTTTTGCTCAGAATGAAGGCTATAATACATAGTAATGTACTTTATATTTCAGAGTTGTGAAAGAGTAGATTTAACATGTTTTTACTCTGAAAAAGTGTGTGTGAGGTGATGAATTTGTTACCTTGACTTTATTATTCTACATCAAATAACAAATATCAAAATATTATTGTACCCCATAAATAATATATGATTATTTGTTAATTTAAAAAATAAGGGCCAGGTGTGGTGGTGCACGCCTTTAATCCCAGCACTTGGGAGGCAGAGGCAGGCGGATCTTTGTGAGTTCAAGGCCAGCCTGGTCTACATAGTGAGTTATAGGACAGCTGGGGCTACAAGGAGACCCTGTCTCAAAAAGACCAAAAACAAAACAAAACAAAAAACTGGGTATGATAGTCATACCTTTAATCCCAGTACTCAGGAGACAGAGGCAGGTGGATGTCTTTGAGATGGATGCCAGCCTGGAGTTCCAGGTCAGGTGGGGCTACATAGTGAGACCCTATCTCAAAAAACAAGCTAAGACCCCTAAATTTAAATATAAATATATATACCCCTAAATTTAAATATATGTATTTATACTTAATAGTAAATCTTGATATGTAGCTCTGCAGGTTTGACCTGGTGTCCCCAGAATATTGATGACAGTCCTCCTCCATGAAGACGACTTTATGCAACTTGAAAGGAAAGAGCTCTTGTGCACTCAATATTCCCTGTGTGTGAGCTCGTGGGTGTTCCATCTCCATCTACCTCTTCCTTAAAGCATTTGCTACAAAAACATCCCTGGGTGGTTACGTAACCTCCACTCAGCTTCCAGGAACTGCAGAGTGAGGGGGTGCTGTGGCAAGGCTTCTTTTTTTGTGCTGTTTTCAATATGCTCCTTATTTTTAGTTCACTTGCTGGTTTGTTGGAGAGTGTTTTGGCATCAGCTCTTTTTAGACTGTACAAATTAGAAATATTCTCACAACGTTTTAATTTGATCCAAATTCCAGAACACTTAGCTTTTATGTGCTTTAAAGTTTATGTAGAGATCTTACAGAAAAAAATATGCAATATTTTATAGGAAAGAAGTAAAAAAAATACAAGAAAAACATGTTCATATTAGAGATTTACTTTTTTAAAAATATATTTTATTATTTTTATTTTATGTGTATGAGTGTATTGCCTACATGTATGTGAGTGCACCTGTGTTGTCGTGCAGTGCCGTGGAGGTCAGAAGAGGGCTTTGGATTCCGCTGGAACTTCTGTTAAGGACGGTTCGTAGCCACCATGTGGGTGCTGGGAATCGAACCCTGGTCTTCTGCAAGAGCAGTCAGTGCTCTTAACTGCTGAGCCATAGAGATTTACTTTTTAAAAAAAGTTTGTGGTAGCTGGGCGTGGTGGTGCACGCCTTTAATCCCAGCACTCGGGAGGCAGAGGCAGGCCGAGTTCTGTGAGTTCAAGGCCAGCCTGGTCTACATAGTGAGTTCCAGGCCAGCTGGGGCTACAGGGAGACCCTGTCTCAAAAAGACCAAAAAATAAAAAAAGTTTGTGGTAAATACCTTGATTTGAACACCCATAGTTATAAATTCACATAAAACTTTCATTTTGACTCCTTTATATTCTATCAATGTATGGATAGAGATAAGAATTTAGCACCCAGAACAGATAGGATCTGAAACCTTATGGGACATTTGAGAATTTTGGCAGGAACTGGTGAGTTGATTTCTCAGACTGTACGTCATGGCATCTAACCACATCATATTTGCTCAGTCTGTCAATGACTTTAACAAAGGATGGGAGGATTGGGTATGGTAGCACATGCCTACAGTTCCAAGTACTTGGGAAGCTGAGGCAGGATAGCTTGAGCCCAGGAATTTGAAGCATGCCTGGGTAACAGAACAAAACTCTTAAAAAGAACCAAAGCCATGACCTAAAACTATGCCTAAACAAAGAGAATTTGTAAAGATTTTAATAAGTTCTGGTTATCTTAGGAGCATACATTTTTCTAATTTTTATTTTATAATTTAAATTATGTGTGTGTGTAGGTTTGTGCGCATCTTTCAGGGCTGGAATTGCAAGTGACTGTGAGCCGCTGACGTGGGTACTGGGAATGGAGCTCAGGTCCTCTGGAAGGGCAGTACAGTTTCAACCATTAAGCCATCTCTCCAGCCTTAAGTATACAGTTTTCTAATCTGAGTTAACTCTAGGATATACTTGGATTAATGGACATGGTGGTGTGTGAATTACAAGGATTTTCTCTTGACCTAGTAAATTTCTGGCTATTGAAGTTCATGTTGGTGGGCGATAACGTGCTGTCCTACGTGGCTTGTTTTGATTTTTATGTCACTTGGCTGTTGTAAGAGCCTTTGCTTGCTATTGTACATATCATGAAAGATTCTCAAGACCTGCTAAATTCAGTATTGGAATTAGCAGAGATTCAAACACGGAGGTTAGACAAAGAGTTATCTTATAGAACAGAGGCTTTCATTTCAATCTTTCCAAGTATAATGGTCTCTTAAAGTAAAAAAGCTTTCAAGTCCTTTTGTCATAAGTCTGTTTTTTATTATGTATTGATTGTAGAAATTGCCAAAACCACTATACATTCAGTGACAGTTGTTAGATCAGAGTGTGTCTTATTGCTTGTAATACATCCATTTGGACATTTATTGCACATACACATGAGCTGTTTATTCTGTCTATATCATCTTGTCTACATACAAATTTTGTAGACCTTTATAACAACTATTAACTCTCTTAGAAGGAGGGCTCAGAGTGGGAATGTGAGCTTTAGCTTAATGATACTGGTCTGGTTTTGTGTATGTGTGTACATATGTATGTCCGTATGTATGTCCGTGCGTATGTCTGTGCGTGTGTGTTTCCCAGTGAGTTTAATTAGGATTACCTTGCGTGGGCATGGGCATCCTACCAGTGGCCATACTTCTGAAGGAAATAACACCCCCCTTCAGCAACCATTAATTGCTAATAGTCCCTCAGGTAGGGCTGAGGTCCTCTCAGGCCTCTTCCCTTGTCATTGTTAAAATCTTTTTTTTTTTTTTTTTTTTTTTTGGTCTTTTTGAGATGGGTCTTCCTGTAGCCCCAGCTGGCCTTGAACTTGCTTTGTAGACCAGGCTGGCCTTGTACTCACAGAGGTTTTGCCTGCCTCTGCCTCCCAAGTGCTGGGACTAAAGGCATGCACCATCATGCCCAGCAAAATCATTTTTTTTAGGTCAAGGTCAAGCACTAAGGGAAATCTTAAGTCTAATCACAAAGTCTTTCTATATCAATATTGAGTGGTTTAAAAAAGTTTTGAGATGGTCTCATGTAGCCTAGGCTGGCCCCAAACTTGTTATGTAGATGAAGATGACAATTGCAGGCCTGTACTACCTAGTTTATGCAGTGAATAGGGATGGAACCCAGGACTTTAGGCATGCTAGGCAAGCACTCTACCAACTGAGCTATAGCTCCATCCCCTGGGTAGTTTTATTTAAAAGTTTAAGATTAGGATGATTCCTTACTATCAGAATCACCAAGTTGAGAATATTGTTAAAAATGTAACAATTAATTTGGCCTTAAACTAAATTAGTAAAGTTGTAGCTCCTGAGTGAGTCTTATTAAAATCTTTTGCATGTTACAGCTGTATTCAGAGTTCCAAGCAGAATGCAGTTATCTGGGGCAAGTCTACCTCTAGAGAAATTTGAGATGTCTTTTTGAATATACTAGATGACAGTCTTTGCTTATTCCTAGTTTTAGATCTGTGCTGCTCATCTGATTGAGTCCAGTTGGGGCTTATCATAAAATAAAAATTATTGACTACTGAAATAATAGAGGTTCTTTCTGAAATGTATGCCAAATTTCAGCTTAAAAACTGGTAGTTCAGGGCTAGTAAGATGGCTCAGCAGGTAAAGGCAGTGGCTACCAAGCCTGATGACCTGAGTTTGATCCCCAGGACCCATGTGGTGGGAGGATAGTATTAACCCCCACATGTCCTCTGACCTCTGTATGTACACACACACACACACACACACACACACACACACACAATAAAAATGTAGTAAAGTGGGGCTGGAAAGATGGCTCAGCAGTTAAGAACACTGGTTCTTCTTGCAGAAGACCCAGGTTCGAATCCCAGCACCCACATGGCAGCTAACAACTGTCTGTAACCCCAGTTCCAGGAGATCCGATGGCCTCTTCTGTCCTCTGCGGGCATTGCACAACATGGATGCACTTACCTATATGTAGGCAATTGTCCTAGTTTGTTTCTTCACTGCTGTGACAAAACACTTTGACTAGTACCAACTTGGGGAGGAAAGGGTTTATTTGTCTTACATCTCCCAGGTCGCAGTTCATCAGGGAGCCCAAGGTAGGAACTCAGGGCAGGAACCTGGAGGCAGGAGCTGGAGCACAGGCCATGGAAGAATGCTGCTTACTGGCTTGCTCCCTTGGCCCCTACTCAGCCTGCTTTCTTATGCAACACAGGCCCACCTG